ATGAAGCAGAGTCCAAAAATTAGAATAAAGGTTAAAAAGTAAAAAAATAGAGTGGAGTCTAAAAATTAGAATAGAGGTTAAAAAGTAAAAAAATAGAACGGAGTCTAAAAATTAGAATGGAGGTTGAAAAGTAAAAAATGGAACAGAGTCCAAAAATTAGAATAAAGGTTGAAAAGTAAAAAATGGAACAGAGTCCAAAAATTAAAATAAAGGTTAAAAAGTAAAAAATGAAACAGAGTCCAAAAATTAGAATAGAGGTTGAAAAGTAAAAAATGAAACAGAGTCCAAAAATTAGAATAGAGGTTGAAAAGTAAAAAATAGAACAGAGTCCAAAAATTAGAATAGAGGTTGAAAAGTAAAAAATAAAACAGAGTTCAAAAATTAGAATAGAGGTTGAAAAGTAAAAAAAAATAGAGTGGAATTTAAAAATTAGAATAGAGTTTCAAAATTAGAGCGGAGATTTATTTTTCAATCTCTGCTCTAATTTTAAACTCTGTCCTATTTTTTTGATTTTCTTGATTTTTTTTTTTGTATTTTTGTAACGTAACTAAAATTGATTAACATGCATAATTAATATGCATAAATATAAGATTACATCTGATTGATATTATTTGCATATACAAATTAATTAAATATCTTTACTAAATAAGTTAAATTTTTAGCCAATGCATCTGATTGACAATCAATTAAATATCTTTATTAAATTAAAATTTATATCTTATTGATGTATTAATAAATTAATTAAATAATCTTTACTAATAATAATCTAAATAAATTATATTTTAATATTTATTTGATTAATATTTTATGCATTTTTTTAAAATATATATTAAATATAAATAAAAAATTTATTTTGTATTAAAAATTTTATTTATAAAAGTACTATTTCAAATGTTAAAAAAAAATAAATTATATAAAATGTAAAATTTAAATTGTTCATATAGTATATTTATTTATTATACAGATTGAAATTCAGTTATATTCTTTCTAAAATTATCAAAACATCTCATTATAAATTATAAATTTGAAATAAGAAATAAGGTATAAATCTAAAAAGATTTGTCAAGTTGGTTTCTTTTTTGTTAAAATTATTTTCTTTTACTAAAAATCAATTTTACAATTTAATTATAAAACAAATTATTGAACAAGATAATAATAATAACTTGATACTATAGTAAAGACTAAAATTTCTCCAAGAACATATAGTTTAGTTTAGAAATATTTAAAATAGAAAATGAAAAAGCAAAATGCATATATTGTTTGTGAGTATATATTTAATTTTTATATTATAAAAAATATTTTATTTATTAATATTTTAAATATTACAGTAGCATTAAAAAAATTAAAAAAATATTATCGTCATGCAAATTCTAATACTTATTCTATTACTATTAGTAAGTTTTATTTATTTTATTTATTAATTTTAATTATAGATTATTAATTTATTATTATTAATTTATAGTACTTGATCTATGATTAAAATTATCATATTATATTGATAATCATTAAGAAATAAATTTTATTGAAGAATCACATAAAATTTTTACTTTTATTTCAATATGCATTATACTTCATCGATAATAAATTTAAAAAATCCAAATGAAAGTTCTGAAGATAATAATTTATTAAATTATATATATAAAAGACAATATGTAGAAAATATTAATGAAATAGAGCATTATCTTAATGCTTCACTTATATCTTCTAAGATTAATTTATTATAATGGTAAAAAGTAAGTTATATATTTTATTAATAATTTTATATTATTTAAGCTTATTAATTTTATTTTTTTTTAGTTAAATTAATCACAATATTCTTATTTAGCAAAAATAATAAGAGATTTTTTAGCTATTTTAGATAAATAAATTTAAAATTTTATGAAATTTTTATAATTTTAATTTTTAATCAATCTAATTTATTTTTATTTTTAAGTTATTAGTATTTTAATAGAAGGAATATTTCTAAAGGAATTGATCTAATTACATAAAAAAGATATAATTTATTAGCAGAAACAATTAGAGCGTGTATGTATCTTAAATTTTAGTAACAAACTATTTTAAAGAAAAATAAAATTTTTTATTTGTATTTTTTAATTTTGTTTTTATTTTTTTTATGATTTTGATTTAAATAAAATAATATATAAACTTATAATACCATATAATTTAAAATAAATTGTTTATATTTAAATATTTATAAGTTAATTAAATTTGACTCAAAACTTGATTTGAATTTGACTCAACTCAAATAAATTCAAGTCAAAATCAAGTTGAGTTAAACTCGAGTCAAGTTAAATTGAGTTGAGTTTAAAATTTATATAACTCAAATTAAGTTGAGTTGAAAAATTTTATAAAATAAATTTGACTCGACTTAACTTAAAAAAATGAGTTGAATAGAGTTGATCCTTAAACTTGACTTGATTTGACTCATTCAGAAATCTATTTGCAATTATCAAAATAGAGTAAGAAGAGGTAAGAGGTAGATCTATACTATGAAAAGATTATATAACCTCTTCAGGATTCGATTCTAAAATAGGTCAGATAATAATTAAAAAAGTTTAAATAATTTTTTAGAGTTATATTAAATATATTTACTTTTTTAGAATTGAGATATACAGTCAACTCTTGATATAGCGAACTCTTGATATAACGAATTTTTTGAACAAATATAATAAAAATACTCTTGTTATAGCGAATTGACCAATCAAATCTCTTAAAATCTTCACTATAGCCTTATAGCGAAGTTGAGGTTTAGGACATAAAGTTCGTTATAATAAGAGTTAACTGTATTCATAGGAGAAATTGTAATTTACTTATTATAAGGTAAATATGAAATACAAGGCAAAACTATGACGAGCCTGCAAGGCAAAACTGAAATAAATAGCAAAATCGCAATGTGTCTACAAGGCAATAAAATTTTTGATTTTTTTTCTTATTGTTCATTTAATTTCATTTTTTTTTGTATTATTTATTTTTTCTTTTATATCATACGTTTAATTTCATTTTTTCTTTTTCATTTTTCATTTTGTTTCATTTTTCTATTTTATTTTATTTTCTTAATTTCATTTTTTATTTCGTTTCATTTTCTTAATTTCGTTTTATAGTTTCTTTTCATTTTTCTAATTTTGTTTTATAGTTTTTTTTCATTTGTTTAATTTCATTTTTTTGTCTCGTCTCATTCACCTAATTTCATTTTATAGTTTCATTTTAATTTTTTAATTTCGTTTTTCGTTTTATTTAATTTTCTTTTTATTTTATTTTATTTTATTTTTATTTTATTTTAAAAAAAAATTTAAGTAAATTAATAAAACTGTTGTACAACAATTAACAGATTGCATATTAATATAAAATGACTAGAATTTACAAAATAATGTGAAAATATTTCTAAAATAATTATATTATAGTAAAATTATATTTGTATAATGAAATCAATAATCATCTACTATAACGAATAATTCATTATAACGTTAATGAAGATTCTTATTATGAAGTTCTGATCAGCTGGATTGGCAATTTTGTTATACCGAGATGTGATTGTATTAAATATTTTGCTATATTGTATAAAAAATTTATATACTCATATAACTTTAAAAACTATTGTTAATATTATAATTACAGTCAACTTTTGATATAGTGAACTCTTGATACAACAAATTTTTTAAATAAATATAATAAAAATACTCTTGTTATAACAAATTGGCCAATCAAATCTTTTAAAATCTTTACTATAGCCTTATAGTAAAGTTGAGATCTAGAATATAGAGTTTGTTATAACAAGAATTGATTGTACTTTGATTATATCTGCTAAATTTAAAGTAAATATTTAATTGCATCTATATATATTTTAAATTTTTTAATTATAATTTACTTATTTTTTTTAAAAGAAGCTGTTGAAAAATATGAGAAATTTATTGATTTTATGATAAATTAATTTAAATCTTTATGCTATTATAGATAGGAATAATATGAATCAAGTAAATTATTACATTATCTATGATATACAAATTTGCTTTATATATAAAAAGAAGCATTGATATCTGAAAAGTCACTGGTTAATTGTTAAACAAAATAGTGAAAATATTATCTGATTTGTGAAAATATCAAAGAATCCAGAATTTTACTTGTTAAAGTATTATAATTATATTCTAAAAAATCTAATTCAAATACTTAAAAAGAATCTTTTGAAATTTTCAGATAAATATATATCAGTAAAGATATGAAATAGATAATATTATTATCTTTTCTAATATTATTACCAAAAATTTTACCCTATGTGATTATAGAAATATTTGTCATCCTGCATTATACCTATCACATTTTCCATTTTTAAAAGTATTCTGAAAACAATTTTTTTAGGATGCGAAATCATATTCGTCACCTTTATTCGTCACATGGTTAAGTTCTATGTCTAACCCAGCTTCCCAGGTATAGTCAATTATATAAATTTCGTATGGTCAAATGAGGTGAGTCAATTGACTCATTCCAAAGTTGCGCGGATAATATTATTCACGCGGTCACGTGACTACCGCGCACATTGGCATTGTTATTTGGTTAGCATTTAGCGTTTTATCAATTAATAAAGTTTGCCCATATCGGGCTTTACATTAATTTTAACAGAGGGAGGTGGGTGTGTAAAGTAATAAAAACAAAGTTTCCAGTATACGAAGGATTGTAGCACAAATCTAGGCACTTCGCCTCAGTACTAAATCACGGGGTGATCTGCCAATCCGAAATGAATTAGTTGTAGAAATATACCGAGAGCAAAGAAATAACTTGATGCTGGGACCCGCATTAAATGGCATAGGATCTGTGTATTCCCTCCCTCTTTGATAGCATCATATGTTTCATTGCTAACCACTTTTTTTTATCGAAAATTATTAAAGTTTCGCAATTAATTAAAAAAGAAATCATTATTTTTGTACCAATTTTTTCATACGTAAATTGCACAATTTATTACATTACACATATATCTACATAATATTACACTAATTTATTTTTTTTCTTTATTTTGCCTGCTTCATTAAAACTGCCTGTTGAACTTCGTACAGATCAATTGCAACAATAGCATTATACAATGCTGGAGGAGGACCAGCTAAAGGTGTATATCCAATTGCAGGAATTGGAGGATCATAAAATATGTCAGCAACGGGGATATTAATGATGAAATTTGGATCGTTCGCAGTATTACAGACATTTGTGCCAAGAGGAAAGTGATTACCGTTTTTATCCAAAGTCCCAAAATGCCACTATCATATAAAGAACCAGACTTTGAGAATCAAGAAGTATAAAGAGTAGGAAATTTTCTTTCTCAACATTCAATCTTACCTTCTGCTTTGCGACTCCTTGTCGCCAAAGCGTGGCCTAATATTTAACAATTTAAATACAAAGTAATATAATAATTAGAATTATTAGACCATGAGACATACCTTCATAGCTCGTTCTCTGCGTCCCGATGTGCCCCGATGTGTCGCGTGTAGTTAATATATCGTAGAGTTTTATACCTAGAACAGATCGTACGTACGACTGTCGTTTCCAAAGCCTACACTTGTCCCTCAAGTCAGAAGAACTTTGATCCACAGCTACTTCAAGAATTACCCTCGCATAAGGGTTTCCCTATATTATCAACCATATAAGTATTAGTATTTAGCGTATCACGAAATACATGACAAATCGAAAGTACCCTTCTATCGCTGGGCGGAGGACCAGGGTGTGGGACGAGAGGGTCTGGAACAAAAGTGGGATGAGGATAAACAGCAAGATCCGGTGCTTTGTGAGATCCATCTGGCGAGTCATGAACTTTGGAAATGATGATAAATATTAGAATATAATAAGAGGTGAGAGATCAAGTAAACTAGGAAGAATTTCTTTACGTGGCTGTCCGAGCACTTGTATTGAAGCATTACTAGGCACGCCAGGATAAAGGGTTCTGAAGTAGTATCCAACTGCCTCAACAACTGCTTCATGTTCAGTCGAAGCCATTTCAACTATATATACGGTGCCCTTTTTGTAATCAAGCTTGTATCCGCTTATCTCTTTGCTTTCAACGAAAGAATTGTATTGTTGCAGGGATATGTTTGAGGCAATCGGAAAAGGAAGACTGCAATTCACACGAGTCAACACTGGCGAACTTCAATACAAACTAGTGCAATTCCTACTCACCTGCTTTCGTCTAATTGCTCCTTTGGTAATTGAAGCTTCCCTGACGAAAACGCCTTCTCAAGGACTACTCTAAATTTATTATGAGGCATTTTTTATGGTAGAAGTATGATCTTTAACTTGATTAATGATTACAGTCAACTCTTGATATAGCAAACTCTTGATATAACGAATTTTTTGAACAAATATAATAAAAATACTCTTGTTATAGCATAGAGTTCATTATAACAAGAGTTGACTGTAGGCACAATTATATTTAATATATGCTATGCCTATTATGTGACTTCAATTTATATCACTGTTTAAAGCTGAATTTAAAAAATAAAAAGTTTTTAAACTTCTTTATTTTTAATCTATTATAAAGAAAAATTATCATTTGAATCATTAATTTTTTAAATATACATTAATCACTCTTTGAAAATGATCGAGATATAAGTGATTTAAAAATAAAAGAATCAAGTAGATTAATTGATATATTAGATTTATTACCTATAAATTATAATTATTAATATTAATATATAAATTTTTATAAAATTATTAAAATATATATACTTTGCTTGTAAATTAGAACTATATGTTGAACTGTTAGATTTTTTACATAATTTTTTTTAAAATTAAAATCTTTTCATTATTATTAAATTTATTATTTTTTTTTCTAATTCTGATTCAAAAAATTCAGCAAACTTTTAAAAAAATTTATTTTTAAAATTACAATTTTTTTTAAATATATTTACTTTTATTTGATATTTTTTTAAAGTTACTTAATGATCTTTAAAATTTATACAAGTAATACAAATATAATAATATTGTATAGATTTGCTTTTTTAGTTAAAATTTTAATGTAATGTTTATAATTATGTAATATATTAAAAACTTATAAAAACTTATAAAACTTATAGTTTATTAAAAATTTAAAAATAAAAAAAATTTAAAATAATCTGAAAGTATATGATATACATTATAATATATTAATATAATTTTTATTTATAATGTTGTATATTATTTAGATCATTATATTTTCAATAAAAAATACAAGTTATGCTATAGTAATATATATTATGATAAATTAATAAATGTTTGAGTTAAAGCATCAATTTATTGTTTTTTTGCATATTCTGACACCTCTGATATTCAGGATATCTAATTTGTTATAAAATTGTAAAAATTAATGTCTCTGATATTCAAAGCATTAAAATATTCAAAGTATTAAATTTATTGCAAAATTACTAATGTTTAAAATGTTAATATTTTGCAAAATTTCAAAAATTGATATTTCTTATATTCAGAATATTAAATTTCTTATAAAATTACAAAAATTATTGATGTCTTTGACATTTAAAATGTTAAATTTTTGTAAAATTGCAAACTTGATATCTTTGATGTTTAGGATATTAATATTTTTATAAAATTGCAAAAATTAATGCTTTCTTTATTCAGAATATTAAATTTCTTGCAAAATTGCAAAAATTAATAGCTTTGATATTTAAAACGTTAAATTCTTATAAATTGCAAATATTATTAATATCTTTAACATTCAGAATTTTAAATTTTTATAAAATTATAAAGATTGACACTTTTATTATTTAGAATATTAAAATTTTTGCAAAATTGTAAAATTGCAAAAATTGATACTTTCAATATTTAAAATGATGTCTTTAATGTTCAAGATATTAAATTCTTGCAAAATTGTAAAAATTGACTTTTTTAATGTTTAAGACATTAATATTTTATAATTTTGCAAATAAACTGTAACCAAAATTAGCAAAATTATATGATATTTAGTTGATTAGACTGATTGGTAAATTTAGCTATAATTAAAATGACTAAAATAGCTATTGATTACAATCAAATATCAATTGAATTTTGGCTGCTAATTTTGATTGATTAGCCAAATGTCAACTATATAATAATAATATTTCAAAATTAATTTATTAATATATAGTTTTTTTATATTAATATGTTGTTTATTTTTTCTTTATATTTAAATAAAAAAATCTGAAGATTTCTACTTTAAAGAAAGTTAAATAAAAGTTAAAATTTTAAAGTTTAAATATATTTTAAAATTAATTATTTAATAGCTTATAATTTATCAAGTTAAAGCATTTTTAAAGTTACCAATATTTTTTTTACTATTACTTCTTTTTCTTTATTTTATTATCTAATACTTTATTATTTAATAAATTATTATTAATATTATTGTAACTGGGTATTAATCTTAACGATCACAAATCTACAAATATGTAATAAAGTACAGATGTCAATAATATCAAATATATTAAACATAATTAACATATTTAATATAGTTAATATATTTAACATATCAGATATGTCTAATATAGTTAATATTTCAGATATGTCAATATATATAATAGAATCAGTGTTAGCCTTTTAAACTAATGAAATTTTGGACTATTAGACCATTAGACTAATAGATTTAGTCTATTCTAATTCTATTAAAATTTGAACTATTGGATTATAGACTTCATCTAACAACTATAAATTTATTATAATTTTAGCATTATATTCATAATTAATAAAATATATATTATGTAAATCATTTTTATTAATATTTATTAGAATTTTATTAAATTAATTATTATTACTTAATATAAAATTTAACAAATAATTAAGTTCTACTAAACTCTTAATATAAATATCTAGATATATTCCATTTAGAATTTTGAACTCTAGCAAAATAAAGTAATTTTGAAATATTTGTAATATTAATTTTTAAGCTTTTTATCATTTGAAAAATCAAGGTCAGATCAGTAGAATCATTCAATTAAACAAATTTATTATGAATCATTCAAGATGAATGATTTTATTATTATTTAAATTTTTAAGTTGGACTAGTATTATAAATTTGGCTAAAATTATATCTCTTAAACTGTAAAGTAGGAAATTTACCTGCAAACATAAAAAAAAGTATTAATTTTTTAATAAAAAATAAAATATTAATATTAATA